TCTTTCCTCCAAGTACGATGCACTGGGTTTCTGTTCTCATCCATCCTCCGGTTTTCAAATCAGGGTTATTATATTATTATTATTTTTTTTTTTTTCAGACTTCTATATATAGAAAGGCTGTAAGCTATCTAACCTCTTTTATTTTTCTTCCCCTTTTTTTCCACATCCTTCTGATTGGAGAGCATCCAGTCCTGCCAAATAATCAGCCGTCCTTATGGGAATACCGAACAACAAAAAAAAAGTACGAGTATTTTTGTACCATGTGTAATAAGGAAATATTTATGCATCATAAAGAATTTCTTGTGTGTTTGTGTGCAATTAATTATTATTATTATTATTATTAAAAGAGAAATTGTAATCCTGTAAGATAAGTTAATGTTTAGTTAAAAGCTTGAAAAGAGAAGGGTTGTCTTCTGTACTAATGATTCAGTTAGGCATCGTAAATGAGAAATTGTGCAATTTTTGTTTTAGCATCTTATTGCTTGGTATTGAAGTGCTTTAAGTATTATATGACCATGGCTGTCTCGCTTGTATTAAAAGATTTGAGAATAAGTTGCTCTATACTTGCTGATCCTATGAGAATGTGAAACTGGATAATATATGAAATGCAACAAAAGAAAGAAATATATATACCCAGAGGCTGCTGTGACTCTGCTGCTGTGTGCTGTGTTCTTGTGGGGCTGGGCGAGGCGTGGGGCACCCCCCTGAGGAGGACATGGGGCTCTTTGCCAGGAAGGCTCTCTGCTTTTGGGTGTTTTGTTTCCCTACCCCTGCCTCCCCTGGGCCTGGGGTGGCCTCACATCCGTGCCAGCACTGCTCCTTGTGCAGCAGAGATGTCCATAGAAGGCAAAACGTGCTGGAGCTGCGGCGTGGCCCAGCTCCTTCATGGCTGCGTGAGCAAACGGCTGCTCTGCCCTCATCTCCGCCTGCCCTTCCACCCCAGTGCGGGGCCCTTGGGTGCTGCATGTCCCGTGGGGGTGGTGGTCTGGGCACAGCCAAGGGTGTGGGGTCTCCCTATCTTCCCTGTGGTGCAGGATGAGAGCTGGCATAGGGTGCAGCGGTGGGGCTGTGGGTCCCCTCCTGCTTCCTGCCTGCTGTTCACTGGAGCAGAAGCGCCTCTGAGAGCATCCCCAGTGACAGGAGCGTGTGAGGCTTTAAATTATGGAGGAGACTTTTTTTGTTGTTAAAAAAAAAAAAAAAAAACAACAAAAAAGAGGCCTTTAGCACATGCATTAACATGGCCAGGTGATGAATAATTGATGCTCGGCTCTATTAAGCTTTTACACCGGGAGCGGGCGCAGCGGAGCTGAAGTAGGTCATGGCTGTGCTGAGGGTCCCTGCTGTTCCCCCAACCCAGTGCCACTGTGGGCAGCTGTAGTGTAAGGGGTGCAGAGCCACGGTCCTGCTTTGACCCTGACTGCCTCCCAGGGCTGATCGTCACCATGCAAAGGGGCTCCTGGGGCAGGGAACGGCTGTGGGTGAGGTTCCTATGTATCCATACGTCTGTATTAAACATGTATCTATCCACTCATCCATATCTACCAATAGATCTGTGTGTCTCTGTCTGTATATATGTATATCTCTCCTTGTAGGTGTCTGTAGATACACCTATTT